TTTTTTTTTTTTTTTTTTTTTTTTACTTTTTTTGCAGAGGTTTTCGCTATAGGGCGCGTGCGCTGGCCAGACAGACAGACAGACAGAGATATAGAGACAGAAAGCAAGAAATCACCCCCTGGGGCGATGGTCATGCCACAATCCCTTCTCCATTCTCCTCTCGGGATCTTGGGCACGCACACACATGCGCCCGGTGTGAGTTTTAAGCCACCGGGTCAGGGAGGCGAACCGCGGTCGACTACATGGGAGTCCAGCGACATAGCCATTACGCTAACTGCTGGTTCCCTTCTGGTTTTCATATGATAATCTTGTCAACTAATTAACAGTTCTTGTTTAACCCCATCAGAAAAGTGGAGGCACAGAACTATTTAGAACTTACATTTCGAAATCCTATCTTGTAAAATATACGGAAACCTGATAATCAGAACATAAGTAGAAGATTGCTTAAGATGACACACAGACGCAGTGGTTTAAAGATCTGATTTCTTGTATATCTCAACTTTTTAGAAACATTTTTCTTCTTTCTTCATGATAAAACACGTATGCACACATGTGAGAAGAGGAAAAGAGAGAGAGAAAGAGAGGAGGCCCTCTGCGGGGTCTGGTCGCATTGTGATCTCCTTCCTCCAGGCCTCCAGTTCGTGGGATCCCACACGTGACTGGTGTGTTTCAGGCTGACCAGGCTGGAGATTGGAGCCAAGGTGGCCATGTGGGATTCAGCTTCTCTTGAGCGGCACATTACCACTACCCCTGAGTCTGCTCACATATCTCACCTTGTATTATTACTTTTATTCATATCCGGTTTTTCTCCCCTCTGTCTTTCGTATTTCCTCCTAGGTTAGGTGGCAGCCTGGTCATGATGATTAGGGACATGGCAAATGGTTCTAATCATAACTCACTTGATTGTTACTATTTCTCAGGTATAAACATTGATTAAAAAATTAGTGCTGTCCCATTGTTAATAATATCCTATACATGGTCTCACCCTTTTTAAAGCTGCATGTATGTGACTAAAAATAGTAACATTTGAAAAGACTACATGTATTAAGCACAACAGTGAAAATAATGAGGGCATATACTCTGAGAAACTATAAATCAATATCACTTTGTGTGCATTCACTAATAGTTCTCGGGGGACCAGCAGATGGCATAATGGTTGTGTCGCTGGACTCCCACATAGTCGACTGCGGTTAGAGTGATTCCCAGACCTGGCAGCTTAAAACTCACACCGGGCATGTGTACGTGTGTGCCCAAGATCCCAAGAGGAGAATGGAGGAGAGGGATTGCGGTGTGACCAGCCACCCAGGGGTGATTTCTCACTTTCTGTCTCTCTGTCTTTCTCTGCCTCTCTGGCGTGTACATGTGCCCTATAGCAAAAATCTCTTTCTAAAAAGAAAAAAAAAAAAAAACAGTTCTCAGTTTATGTAAGTAGTCCCTTCTACTCAATATCTAAAAGGTATAAGGTTAAATATCTTGTAAATGTACATTTTTCACTGTGAAATCTGGAGATAAAAAAAATGTTCTTTATCATTATAAATAGCCATTTTGAGTGAATCCACTGGTTCTTAAAGGTTTCCAGAAGGAAACCATTTCTAATTAAATGAGACTATATCTAAATTTTCTCAAATAATACAGAATTTAAAAACTCATCTTTTACATAAGTTTAAAATTGTAAAATGAAAAAACATAAATTTCTAAAGTTTTATCTATTTTATTAATTATGGGTAACTAATGTGTGAAAAAACGTAAGCTATTTTTTGATATCTAAGTTACCTTGTAAGCTAAGTATTTTGAAATGTAAATTATGGTAAAAATCAGCATTTAGAATTAAATATATACAGGGTCTCTAAAATTAATATTAAAGTACCTACTTACTGAAATTTATTTGGAGCATTTACTCTCAAAGGCACTGTGACATTAGTTTATGCCACACATACACTTGATAACAACATCAGGTCCTCTTTTCCTTCCTTGATCTCTATCAGGTATCACCCACTGGGATACCAAATTATTTTTTACAAAAGCAACTTACGAAATGCCTTCTTGGTTTTAGAACTAAATTTCCTAAAAGAAAAGCACTATTCATATTATTTTTAAAAAACTGCCAATTAAGCTTTTTCTTTTCTCATAAAATCAAACAGCTAGATGACTACCACCAGATACTGCAGAGGTTCTACATATATTAACCAAGAAATGCTAAAAACAAAGTATACAAGACATAAGAATTGAAAATTATTTACTGATAACATGTATGTTGACGTGCTTGATTGAGCCAATATACAGTGTATTTTGGATGGAAAATTCATTTGTATGTTGTAATGATGTATAATGAATTAATGTAAAAAATAAATAAATTTAAAGAGAAAAAAAGGAAAAAAAGAAATGCTAAAAATAATCTATGTTCAAGGCATAATAAAAAACATAAAATAATATTTATGATATCAGATGTAAGTACTCATTTTATTAAATTTCACATATCATTATATATTATATACTACAATTAAATATTATAATTACACATATTTTAATATATTATACATTATAAAATATATATGCATAATGTCTACTAGGAAAACTTGTTAGAAACTCAGCATCCAGAGTTTTTACTGGAGGCTTGTCAGATAGGCACCTCTTATTAACAAAACACATCAAAATTCCAGTCTCCAGAAAGAAAGGAGATTCATTCAGCATGAATCAGTGACTGCACAAATTAGACATATTGACTTAGTCTTATCAATTAGGGTAGTTAGTTATTGACCTAGTTATCAGTTAGGACCCTCCTGAAATCCAAGTTACAGTTTGTCCAAAGACTACTTTTTTGTTATTGTTTTTAGACTTTTGACAGAGGGCATGTGCTCTTGCTGGAGAAAGACAGATAGAGAGAAAGTGATAAATAACTGTTAGGACAGATGGCCACATAGCAGTCCCATCTCTTCTACTCTCTTCTCTCAGGGTTTTGGTCATGCACACACATGCTCCCGGCGTGTTTTTCAAGTTGTCAAGTCCAGGACTTGAACCAAGGAGTTGGCCATGTGGGATACAGTGTCTTAAGCATCACTTCACCTGCTGGCCCCAGACAAAAAGCTCTTAAAATATCCTTGACACTTCTCTTCCTCTCTCAATCTACGTTCAGTCCATTGGTATATTTTGCTGACTCTATCTGTAAAGAAGAGCCAGAACCTAACTATTTCTTGTCACCTTCCTTTGTCATCACAGCCAAGTTGAAGTCACCACTGACTTTTGCCTGGATTATCTCAATAAACTTTTAGCTGTTATTCCTTCTTCCACTCTTGCTCTTCTTTATTCACCACATACAGGGATCTCTCTGAAACTTAAATCTAATTATATCATTACACACATGTGTGTGTGTGTGTATGTATTATCTACATCTATATCCATATATAGGTTAAATATTTCTTATCCAAAAATGCCTGGAACCAGAAATGTTTCATAGTTCATCATTTTAATAATTTTGGAATATTTGCATATGCATAATAAGATCTTGGGTATGAAACACAAGTCTAACACAAAATTTTTTTTTGATATACACTTTATACACATAGTCTGAAGGTAATTTTTATAATATTTTTCTATTGCAACATTTTAACTCTGATCATTATATGAGGTCAAGTATGGAATTTTCTATTTGTGTCAGCACACAAAAAGTTTTAGAGATTTTGGACAATTTAAGACTTTGGATTTTCGGATTAGGAATGCTCAACATGTGTGTATGTGTGTGTGTGTGTGTGTGTGTGTGTGTGTGCGCGCGCGTGTGTGTGTGTGTGTGTGTGTGTGGAGAGAGAGAGAGAAAGAGAAAGAGAGAGAGAGAGAAAACACTACCTTGGTTGATTAAATTCCATTCTGCAAGGACCATAGCTCAGAAATACAGTGAAAGTATCTATTTCTAAACACAAATTCAAGAATTTCTGGATTTCTTTTTTTTTTCTTTTCTTTCTTTCTTTCTTTTCTTTTTTTTTTTAGAGAGATTTTTGCTATAGGGCAAGTATCCTCACTGGAGAGACAAAAACCAAAAAATCATCCCCCACCCCACCCCCACCACCAGGGAAGATGGCCTTGCCACAAATCCCTTCTCCTCTTTTCTCTTTTTGGGGTCTTGGGTATGCATGCACACACTCCCAGCATGAGTTTTTAGCTACCAGACTGCATGTGGCCAGAACTTGGGCTTGAACTGCGTTCAACTACATAGGAGGCCAGTGATGTAACCATTACGCTATCTGCAGGCCTCGAATTTCTGGATTTCGATAATGACTCTGGCACTTTCTAGATGTGTGGATTTGGCAAATTGTTTTAAACCTCCCTCTCTGATTCTGCATTGTTATAATGGGTGCAATTAATACCTCCTACTTGATAGCATTGTGAAGATTAAATGAAATAATTCATATGAAGGTTAATTTTATGTGACAACTTGACTGGATACAGGGATACTCAGATAGCTGGTAAAATAGTATTTCTAGGTGTGTCTGTGAGACTGTTTCCGGAATCAGTATTTTAATTACTAGACTAAATAGAAAAGATCTGAAGGTGTGGGGTCTAATCCTGTTGAGGGCTCAAATAAACCATACAGGTAAAGGAAAGCAAAATTTTCTCTTTCCTGGAGCTGAAACATCTTCCTCCATCCTTTAACAACAGAACTCCAGGATCATGGATCTTTAGACACAATTAAATGATATCATTGCCTTTCTTGGGTCTCCAGTTTGCAGATGGTAGATGGTAGAACTTCTCAGCTTTCATAATTGTAGGAGCCAACTCCAATAATAAAGCCCCTAATATATCCTTATATATTCTATTGGCTCTGTTTTTCTAGAGGCCTTTGACTTATATGACTCGTATAAAGATTCTAGAGTGGTTCTTCATACTTGGCTGGCTTTAGTAAATAATGGCCACGTATCATAATCCCCATTCATATTGCAGATAATCCTAATAGAATGCCCATATCCTAAATAAAGTTTGCAGTAAAAATCTTCTGCAATCTTTTTTAGTAGAATTTATAGTGGACCACTTGCTTATTTACTTGCAAAAATACAATCTGCCAACTTACTTCATTATGAGTGGGCTCGTGAAGGACAAAATATCAGCAAACACTTTGAACAAAGCAACTTGAATCAGGACAGACTTAAAGGTGTTCCACAATGCACAGAGTAGCGATGGCTTCCTGATAGATGTCTCTTTGTGAAAAGATTCCTACACAATTAAAGAAAACAGAAACAGTAAGAAAATTGAACAGAATGAATATATGTAACAATAAAATATATACAAATCACTGTAAAATTAGCAATGCACTACAAAGACAATATGCTAACAGGAAAGGTTATAAGAAAGATACAAGTTAAACATGAAAATAAGTCCAGTACAATGAGTATGCTATGTTTCCAGACTAATTCATGTTATTCATCACACATGGCATAAGAGGTCAATAGCAAAAGCTGTATTTTATACTTTTGTGAGTACTGAAACTATTTTCTTAGTGTAAGTACAGTTTTTAATCTTTAAATTGTATTTTCTTTTTGCATATGTATGTGTCTAAGTCTGATGACAGATAAGGAGTGCCTGTCACTGTCCCCATAACTTTGGCTTTGACCACACAACATATTCGCTCCTGAACATTAAAGGAAAGGATCTGGAATAATTTGAAGACAGAAACGGGCTGCCAGTACAACCGATTGTGCTTATAAAATGGCTTCTTATTTCACATATTTTAGGGATTTTCTATATCAACAACAATAATATTTCATGTTTGTATAAAGCTTTTGTAGGTAGTAATTAACTTCAGGATCTAAAAAGTTTTAATAATTAATTACCTTTATTTTTTGCCTCTCTTGATTCCTGAAAACTTCTTTCCTCCACTGTTTTTCAAAGATGGGGCACACATTGTAGGAGGAATCACTTTCATTAAGTTCAAAAAGGTCCTCTCTTTCCAAAGGCTTCTTATAGCCTAAAATAATTATTCTAAAAAGCAAAGAGTAAGATAAATGATTTGGCAAAAGTGGTAAGTTTAAAATAAATTTACATGCATTCATGACATTTGTTGATTTATAAATTACTAAGCAGGATACAATGACTAGATTTTATGTTTAAAAAGTCATACATTTTAACTTGGAATTCAGTAAAGGGCTGCAATCATTTGTAGTTTTTAGAATGGCTTGTTTAGACATGGAGTTACTCAGAGAAACACCAACTTTGTTTACCTATTTTTAAATTAGTCATGTACCATTCATCTACTGCAACTTGGTTACTGAAATTTAAATATTGAGCTTTCATAGTGAGGTGCTCATCCAATCACTCTAGATGCACATTCATTTTAAGGCTTTTATGAGAGAAAAAAATAGATCCAACTTCAGCATTCACAACTTTTTCTCGTTCCACTGAAATGTTACATACCCTTTGCCAGTTGACTTCATAGATCATTCAGTCAGATGTGGAATGCCTGTCCTTACTCGTGAACTTTGGCCTAGACCATCTGACTTACAATGACCAACAGACTATGAGTCAACATGTGAGTGACATTTCTGAGCAGACACCTTAAGAAGCCTAGAAAGTTTCTGCTGACCCTGTAGTGTATCCATTCTCTTCCATTCAGAAAGCTTGGCTCAGGAGACAATGTGAATTAACTATGTGGGGACAATGGGTCTAAACTGAGAAGCAAACCAACATGCATGGTCTAGTTATAGCACAGAAGTAGATGAGAAAGACATGAATTGTACTTGCCCAAGTCACCCTTCTGCCCTACCATCTTCCTACTAATCTGATAGTATCCAGTCAAAAATCACTTGAACTCAGAGTAAGTAAGCCCTTATCCCAGCCACAGAATTAAGAATGATAATTCATCTAAACCGGTTCTGGTAATCTTATTACCCTTTGCTTGAGATTAATAACATAACTCAGTTATGGCCAAAGATACCTAAACAAAAATTCAAAGGGGCTGAGGGTAGACTTTGTCTTGAAAAGGAAATCACAAAAGTTCAAGAGAAGAAATGTTTTGGCTCCCTTCCCCTTCCCCTCCCTCCTCCTACATGCACTGAAGACACAACGCTTTGAGATGCAGGAGTCATCTTTGCCACTATGGGTGGAAAACTAAATATTAGGATGGCAAATGGAAAAGATGGAACAAACCTGGACCTCTTGTAACATCTGTGAGGTATTTTATCAGCCTATTCCTATCTTTCTTCCCAATAACATAAGGGCTTACTTGTTTATGCCATTATTCTTTGACCATTCTGTTACTTGAAGCTAAATACACTCTTAAGTAACACAACTCAGATATACTCTATCAGTCTGGGGACATAATTTCTTCACCAATAAATTAAACTCAGATTTAAATACAGGCTTTCTGACTCTATGGCCTCTGTTTTTTTCTATTATAAAGTTTATCAGCCCAAGAAACTATAACAAGGCATTATGTCCTTCCAGATTGGGACTGTTTTCACTTTCATTGTTACTGAATAATCTCAATTGATTGACCCTAGATGGATGTAAACCCTGTGGTAACTGAAGTCTCTACTAGATGCAATTTTACGTTGATTGTAATATATAATATCCTACCACAATTCAAATTTAACAAAAGGACTTAAATGTGATAAGAAAGGACTCTTGGTAATCATGTTTCTGTTGGCTCAGTATGTTGGACATTTTCCTACAATGTACTTTTAAAAACATATTAAGTAATAAACTATTTTCACATCCTATTAAGTCATTTTATTCCATTCCATAAAATAAATCTTCATTTTCAAAATAAGATTGCATTGATTTTCACAAAAGCACTTTTAATAACATCTAATGCCTCAGCATTTTGAGTTAAAACTGTGCAAATCTCAGCAATTTTGGTTCAGGGAGAAGTGACCCCTGGTTTTCATGCTTAGTCTTCAAATAATACAACACCTAAATGACACTAAAGCTGAACTGATTATGATTCTCAGGGCCTGGGTGTTAACCTACTTCGATTCCCCTTTACCAAGAATGTGCTCCCTCCCCATCTTTTCCTCTTTCCTGACAGGTTTAACTACATTCATCACCTATCCTGTCTTACCTCCTCACATAAGAGTTATGGAGGGGCCAGCAGGTAGCATAGTGGTTACATCGCTGGACTCCCACATAGTCGACTGAGGTTCAAGTTCTCGACCCGGTGGCCTAAAAATTACACCAGACGCATGTGGTGTGTGTGCCCAAGATCTCAGGATGGGAATGGAAGAGAAGGGATCATGGTTTGGCCATCCCCCTTGCAGGGGAAATTTATCTCTCACTGTCTCTGTCTCTCTTTCTCTAGTGCACAAATACACCCTATGGCAAAAACCTCTTAGGGAAAAAAAATGCTATGGAAAAGGGAAACTGGTACTTTTGAAATCAAATATTGAGGTAGCTTTTTTGGAAGCAACAGGACCAAGAGTTGACCCACCCAGTGAGTGTGAAGTAGCATGAACCAGATCCCACAAATTTACAAGTTTCATTCAAAAAGCAGTAAGGTTTATATATGCATCTCATATTTTTTTAGAATGATATTTTCTTTGAAAGGACATTCACTTCAATTAATTTGATCCTCACAACTCCCTACAGTCATATTAATTTCTCATTTTTATAGGCAGTTAAATACCAAGAATGCACACACTGGTCAGTTTTTAATGATATTAACCAGTGCTAACTTGAAATAAGAGATATAGTGCCATTAAATATAACGCTTTTACTCTGTTTTAATTTTGCTATCTTAAAGAGAATTTGGGGGATATTTAGCATTAATAATCGTGCATAATTATATCATCTAACTGAGGTACAGGGAGTAGCAAAAGGGTGACATTCACGTCGAAAGATGAGATAGAATGTAACTTCTAGATAAGTAATGGTTAATATTTGAAAGTATGAACATACAGTAGCATTATCAATTTTATTACTATTAATGACATTTTCAAAACATTTTTAGAAAAAAATTAGTTGTGTTATAAGTAAAGAAATGAAATTGATCTTTCTAAAAATCATAGGATAGGACAGTTAAGATACAAATTATATTAATGTGTGAGAAAAGGTAAGACATATTGACCAGAGTATTCCTGATTAAAATAATGACTCAACTGTGACCTATGAAAACTTTAACTAGATTTTTTTCATGTTTATCAAGGGGATTATTCTGTGACCATGATTATTATACACTGATGACAGATTATATTTGCTAATAAAGGCTTGGCAATTATTTGATCATCAAAATGATCTAGATAGCTACTGCCTTAGGAATTAAGACTCACAAGCATGTAATTTCCTAATTATTGTATCATCTGAGCACATTTAAATTGAATTATTCATACAATTATGGGCACTTGCATTTGGCCTAGGAAATAATTTCTCACTCTATTCTGTAATTCCAAAAACAGATCTGAGAATACAATTAACCATTGTCAAACGGGCATGCTCTTAAACAATGGTTACGTTTCAACTGCAATGGTTTAATCACCAGTTAAGAAATCAAATTAGATTCATGCAATGACAATTCTAGATAACAGCATGCTATGAAAATATTTCCCATCTAAATAGTTCTGACAAGTTAAATTTAAACAAAGAATAAGTGTGATATTCAACAGTTATAGCTTGTTGATTTGTTTAATCATTTTAAGCCATGGATTTCAAGATATTAACTTGTCATATTTTCAAATTTACTATCTTATCTTACTATTATTGAATGGAATTTTAGCTTTTTACTTTAGAACTCCTAAAAAGATATTTGCAATATATAATATGTATGCATAGAATTCTAAGTATGATCATCAAAATTTTAAAATGATAGCTACCCCAAATTAATTTTATTTTTATTGTTTAAATTTGGTGAGACCTATGACTTTAAAAAGACATTGACATTTTTTGAGGGTGGCAGGTGGCATGGTAGTTAAGGATATGGAACTCCCACATGACTGAACCCAGTTCGAGTCCTGGACCTGGAAGCTTACTTTCCGACTTTTCCTCTCTCTCTCTCTTTCTCTCTGTCACTTTGTCCCTCTCTAGTCAAATTAAAAATAAATAAATAAAGTTAAATAAAATAATTAAAAATAAAAGACATTAACATTTTGGGGACCAGCAGTTGGCGCAATGGCTATGTTGCTGGATTCCCATGGAGTTGACATCGGTTTGAGTCCTGGTCCCGGTGGCTTAAACTCATGCCTGACACGTGTGAGGAGAATGGAGGAGAAGGCATTGCAGCATGGCCATCCCCACCAGGGGGTGATTTCTCGCTTTCTGTCTCTGTTTCAGGCGAGCGCATACACCCTATAGCAAAAACCTCTTTAAAAAAAAGACATTAACATTTTTAAAAACGAAAGCAAACATCACTATTTTAACTCATAAATGAAACAAAAACTCATGATTGGAAAACATTTTTAAACACATGCAAATTTGAAAAATTAAAATCATGAACTGTAAATAGCCTACATTTACACAATTTTTGTCTAACTTTTCTTCTTTTTTAGTGTATAGCTTTTCTTGGCTACTTCTCTTACATCTGAACACTTTTACTTACATAGCTTCTATTGAAGGTCCTCCTTCCTCTCGCCATTTACTGAGAATTCCCAGTGTTCCATTTGATCATCTACTCAGTGGACTTTGTTTCTGGAAGATCTCATTCATACTCAGGCTTCAACTATGGAGTTGTCATCAATGACTTCCAAATCAATACTCAGAGGTCAATTGTTTACCCTAAACTTGCACATCTGAACACCAGTTCATATAATCCTTTTCAATCTCAAATTGAAACTTCCGCAGTCAGAACGCACAATATTCACCACTCCCTAACTTCACTGTCTCCTGAGCTAGAAAATGACATTTATCCTTTACTTTTCCCAGTTTCTCCAGTTCCTAATCTAATCTACTCTCTTAAACAGCTCTCATAAATAGTTCTTCCTCTTCACCATTTATCATTATCGTAGTTCAGACAGTGACCACAAGTCATCCAGGATATTCAAAGAGCCTCCCAATGACTCTTCCCATTCCCATTTCTATTTCCTCTATACCATATTTACACAATTGCAAAGGCGATTTTCTGAAACGCAAATATGACCATTTCACTCCTCTATTTACAATTTCTCAATGAACTTTCAGTGCCTTTGGGGTGTCCTAAAGAAACCTTCATGATCTCTCCTTCCAGCCTAATGTCCTCTCACTCCGACATCCTGCAGTGTGAGGGGTCAGTTCTCACGTCTGTGGTTTGCTCATCCCAGAAAGTCACCTGATTCACTCCCACGTATCTTTAATGTTAGGTTACAGCATTGGTACCCTTAAAATATTTCCTAGCTGTGCAAACTTGGTTAAATGACACTTCTGAAAATTTGTGTTTCTCAATTATGACTATGTCGTCTTTTGGCTTTTTTGTTAATTGCTAGTCAACTTTATTTATTTATTTATGGTTTCGCCAGAGGGTGGGGGTATTTCTGCCTGCACACGTGTGCGCATACACAAGAGAGAAACACATACTCCCCATGGGAGATGATCACACCGCAATCCTTTCCCTTCCATTTCTCCTCCTTTTGGGATTTTGGACATGCACAAACTTAAGCTTCTAAGTTTACAAAGAAAAAGTCAACCCTTTAATTCCTATCTTAAAGTCAGAACTTACATTGGTCTCTTCAAAAACTTCTGAGCCCTCATTGTACATTACTGATAAGTAATTCTGTGAGGAAAAAGCAGAATATACATCTCACAAAAATGATTAGTTGTGTGTATGTGCAGATATGCATATGTTTTAATATTAGCATATATTGGGCTGTA